CGGGTTGGGTTGTGAGAAGGGAGCTCATTTGCTTTATGAATCGTTCGTTAACTGGAGTTTCTTACAGCGCGCACTGTGGCAAGACTTCTCTGATAACAGGACGGAAGCCACTACCGTCTCGGGAGTAGTTTACTTTTTCGCCTTGGGAACGCAGGCCATCGTTCATTGCAAGCGGTCCAGAGTACAAAACAAGATCGAAACAGGCATCTTTGCCATACTCTGCATCAAAGCGCTTTGAGTCTTCAAGCAGCATCTCCATGAGAAATTCAGCTGTTTAAATAGCAGCTTTGTATTCAGCAGATAGTATCTGCACCCCCACAGAAACGCGCAGCTAACGCTAGCAAAGAAATACAGAAATCTGTTCTACAGATAGAGAGAGCCATGAAAGAGATGGCCTCAAGATTACACATCAACTCTTGACAGCTAGAAACAAAAGCAAGCTCCCTGGACTCCCAGAATAAACTCCCAATAAATGCTATAATCGCTAGCTGCACTTTACTGTGCTATCCGAAAGAAAGGAGATAGAGAAGGTAGTAAAGACAAATGAAAAAGATGAAAAATAACTGAGATGAAAATATGGAGCCCTACTGATAGTTGTTCATGTTAGCTCCAGATACAAGATCATGGCTAATAAGCTAAAGTTAGTAAGTTCAGAAAAGAAGTTTAAAAAATTGTTGATTTTGCTGGGAGAGTTCAGAAAGTTGAAACTGGTTTATCAGAACTAAATTAAAATAATACCTTCCTTCCCATATTTTGCCAGTATGTCCAGGATTATCAGCTGAGATTACTGTCATTGCCCCCTGTCTAGGTGGCACACTGCCATTGACAGAACTGGGACACTTGCTCTCAGTCCTAGGAGAAGCCAAGGACAGAGTCCTGCTAATTCGAGCCCAGGTCAAGGCAAGAAGTTTGCACGGCTGCTCTTTGTATGCCCACTATGGTAAAACAGGGATCTAGACTACAAAGCTACCAGTCACCTTTGATCTACAACAGAAAAGAACAAGTGGGAGTAATAGTGATTTGGGCTTTGCGACTCTGATCACCCCCCTTTAACAGACTTGATGCAAGAATCTTGCTATTTGGACCACAAAAATTCCCCAGTTTTATTTCCAGAAGGGACCTGAATCTCCCCTCGCACATGTGTTGCTTCATATCTGATATTTAATAGCCTTTCTTCAGGATGTCATCTATCCTAAATTCAGGATGCCCATTTCAGGAGTTCAGTTGGACTGTGGATTACTGTATCAGCCATTCACAGCTGGCACTCAGGAGCCAAATGTAATTACAAGCACCAGCAAAAAATAGATAGCTGAGTCCAAAATACTCTATGATTTGACACAATTTGCATAAACCAGGATTTCAAACCTGTCATTAAGGACAGGAATTGGGGGCAATGAAAGTTGTAGAGAAACAACCTGTTTTTAATATATCTAGAGTGACTGCTTAGCTATTACTTTAACAAGTGGCTCCTACTTCAAACACTTGCTGGTAAAATTTGAAAGATGTCCTCATCTCATACCTTGCACAACATCCTTTCACAAAGATCATGTATGGCATTTTGTTTCAGGACAGATATATACACAGTATTCCAGCTATGAATGGCTCACGTAACTGACACAGTCCACATACACAATTTTATACTGAATTTCAATCCCATCAAAAAAAGTAGGAAAGTTATCCTTCTAGGAATTGAGATTAGTTTATATAACTTTCTTCAGAAGTAACTACAGAGCATCTGTCATGTCTTTTGCTTATATCCATGTTCTGTTTATGCTCATAGTCTGTTCAATTGTGGCATAAAAAAATCCCCCTCTGAATTAGGGCTACATGCTCGGTTGTTGTCATGTTGTGCCACAGTGATCAATGGATTCTCTGCTGATCAAATGAAAAACAGAAATCATTAGAGGCGCAGAAATAACACACACTGGTAACATGAGGAACATGGTATTAGTTTATATGATATAGTGGATAAGCCCAACCATTCCCTCAGGAAAGCTCTTGTATATCCAACGTTGACCATCAGTTCAATTCCAAGGTTCCACTGGATAGTGGAAAAAGCTAACACAAAGTTAATTCAGGAATTCACAGGCTAAAATCCTCACTCTCTCCTTTCCTGTATTCTCACACATCAAGGATTAGGCCTATAACTTTTAGCTGTAGGAAACAAACTGCGTTGCTTTCAGCCAGTACTGACTGAACAGTTAAAAATCAGTTGAAAGCGCTGAAAAGTAACATAAGAGAATCATATTCTGTGTACATATTCTCCAGATAAAACTTGGGATTTACTTCTATTTTTGTGGGCTTTCAGAAAAGAGTAGTCTTAAATAGCATAATGACTCTTAACGGCATGATGAAATTCCCATATATTCCCCTAGTATTCTCATCCTACTAGGATGATTTCTGCAGCCTTTAGAATTTACTTATTTTCCTCTCAATGTAATAGCAGAAATTCTTTTAACAGTATAAAAAACATCACCTGAGAACAGACTTGCTGCTTAGAAGAACCTGCACCTCCCAGTTCTTGCATCTAAGCATCCTTGTCATTTCAGCACTATAATTCAACTCCGAGAAAATGCTGTACATTTAAAAATCCAGAACCTGTTTCTCAAGACCCTTATAGTTGTTTTGTTTTTTGTTTCCCCTCAAATCCAGTAAGAAACAACACTGTCATATTAGCACTCCTTTTAAGACAGGAACATCACCAGAAGTTGAACCGAGTCTCTACGAATTCAAGTTATCCTGCACCAGAAGTGGCAGAAGATGGCTATTCCATAATACTGTCAAGGGAAGCTGACATATCATCTAAGCATATTCCTCTTTAAGTAACAGCTGCAATATTGTCCTGCAATAAGGTGAACTAAAACCACCAACTGGAATCTGCTATTAAATTAAGACAAAGTCAGAAACAAAAACTATTTCATATTACTGTCTTAAATTAGAGTCAAATAAACATCCATCTGAAACTGGTGGAGTCTTTGGCAATGTTTTCCACAGCCATAATTAAGCAGACTCCTGTACCTGCTATAAATATGCAAAAACACTTATACATAAAAATACATGAAGCAGCACCCCAGTTGCAATAAAAAGAAGCCTGAGAAAGACAGGCACAATTCAGTCACCTTCCTCTAAACTAAAGCTAAAGTTTATCTGCTGCTGTGCAAGTATTTCAGAAGCGTTTGCAAGAGAAATATTTAATGTAAGCAAACACCTTGAATACATACAGAACTCTTAGGATTTCAAGTTACTCTGGATCTAAAGATGCCAGAAATTAGGATGGAAAAAGCCAAGTTTTGAGCTTAAACTATTGCAAAGACAAATCTGCAAGAAGGGGGCTCACTTGTACTACAGCAGAAATAAACATCAAACCATACATTCAGCCCAGCTCCACTTTTAAGTTTAAAAGCACTCTGCCTGCTCACATGCCACACATGCTCCCCCCGTCTACTCTTTCACATCTCTCAGAAAGCCCCCTAGTCATCAAATCAACACCTTGCTGCCATCTTGTCTCCCTGCTGATTTGAGGCAGGCATACTCTACTGTGACCACAGCTACCAAATGCAAAGCTCCTTTGAATGCAGGCCTGTGCAACTCTACTTGCTTCATTTTCAACTGGAAATAGATTTGGGCAATGAGCCTGTATTTAAACAGTTTGACTTTGCCTGAAAATGGATGCCACTCCCCATATACTGAGATTCAGATGACCTAGGACTCTTCACGCTAGTGCTAATGCCACCTTTGCACTGCCTCAGTATGGTATCCGGACGACACTACTTAAACTGGACATTGTTCTCCTCAGTTTGGTACAGATGTAGAGCAGGTAGGGTGTTAGCCTAGATCTGGTTAATGAACTAACTGTATAAGCATACCATGAGGCTCTTGAAGTTGCACAGAAGACCGTACCTAAGTCACAATCGGAATATAAAATCAGTGGGATTCCCCCCCCCCCCCCCGACCTTGATTTCTTGGAAACTTTGTCATAGTCCGGTCAATACAATCTATAGCAATGCAAACTTCTATATGCCAAGTTAATCCCCAGAAATCCCCCTTCACTCTGTACATGGGACCAAAACAATCATCTATTACAGAGTTTTCAAACAATAAGCTTTAATTGCCTTATTAGAAAAATAAGCACTGAAATATATATAAATGTGATTACATTGAAGTAATTCTGTAGTCTAACATACTAGAAACCAAAGCCCAGTCATATTTTTAATGATACAGATTCAGGTTTTAGAAATTTTCCATAAAGAATAAGGAAGTATGCAGTATCATTTGGGAAACCACGGTAAAGACGAGACAAATCTGCACACTGCAATAAAAACTAAGTAGATCAATTTATTCTGTATACTATACAATGTGTATGTTTGTAAAGAACAATTGACATTTTCATCACTGTAACATCTTGACTGGGTGTAAATATGTCCAACAAAATGCACTCCTGTGGCCTTTACACAAACACTGTCCTACTACATCAAGAACAATGAGAGGGAAGCCTTTGGTGCTACAGATTTGGGACATATCTCTGAAGTTGTAATTAATCCACTTGTAACTATCTTGAATAAAACGTTGGTGCTTTCTGCTATTATTAGCCTAGATGAGTACTACTCTAATAACTAAACACTATCTTTAAAGGCAAGATATGAAAGGGACTGCCAGACTACAGTGTGGACAGGTTTTCTTTGAAAAAGGTCATTATCAAATGGTAAAACTCATATAATACATTATGTACATAAGTTTGGATAGCTGAGTTATCTTGCTGGAGTAAGCTGAAAGTAAGCATCAATTTGCAGTCAAGTCTGATCTACTGTTAAGTGATTATTGGACTTAAGTTTTCAACAGTGTACATAGAATTAAAATAGCCGTGCCTGCTGCTGAGGTCTGTCAGATGTGAAGGCTCATAATCAGTCACTAACCTAGTCAGTAATACAGTACTTTAAATATACACTTTGCACGGATATTTGTAGCTGAATTTGTAGT